TCAGAATGCCTTTATTGAAGCGATTGACAAGATAGTTGGGAGTTCCACAACTCCTGACAAGTCCTTCAGTACGCAGCCTAATGTTTATTCTTCATATGCAAGTCTGAGCAGTAACTGAAGGCAGACAGCGTGACTGGAAGACAAGTTACTGTGGCTAAATATAACTTCCCCAGCAGAAACCTGTAAACAAAGTCTAACCAGGGATGAACCCTGTACTTTGCAAGTCGCCGTGGCTCACAATCACACTATTAACTGAACTGTCCGAGAGCTGTGCCTTCTTCTTAATATGAAGGTCAGAGGGACGGTTAAGACTGAGTACCCGGCATAGATTCCAGGTCGCTGCTGAATTGAGAATTTATTCAGGAGGTGAATGTGGAGTGAGACGGTTGAAAGTGGCTCGTATTAATCTGTCGGCAACCCAGGCCATTTTTAAAAATATTTTTTTAATATAAAATGTAACCGTGTCTATTCAGTGCTCCGAAATATTGCCGCAAAAGCACCACAACAACAAATTAGATTTGCACGCCGCCCTTCACGTCAGGACTGCCCAGCCGCTGGACAGTCAGGGATTTGGACCCGAGCTGGGGGTTGGGATCAGGAGGGATGGAGGGCGAGGTAGGAGAGTGGTCGAAGAGGAAGCCAAAACATCTGTCAATTTTTTTGTGTGTCTCTCCACAGCTATAATTGCTGTGTCCGAGCGAGTTGTGTCGCATCGCTTTAGCCCTGTCACGAGCCTTGCTCTAGCCAGTACAGAGGCACTGAATAGAGACAGTCTGCACTTTGCATTCCCAGCAGCTCTCCTGGCTGAGCTCTGCTGCTGCATATTTCGCCAGATAAGCTCGATGTTTGCACAGCAACACTGCGGACGGAGCCTTCGGGGACTATCCTTCCTTTTGGCGCTTCTCTCTTGCGATGCCTCAAGCTGGGGCAGAAAGAAAAAGAGAGAGCGAGAGGTGACATGGCAGACCCTGTGACTGGTACAGGATTGGTTGCGCTTTGCCACGCGTTCGTCATGGTGTATATGTGGTGCTGCTGTAGCTGGTCCTGTTGTGGTGTGTCCCAGAGCTGCTGTCTACAGGTGAGGAGGTGATGCTGCCAGTTTATCCTCCCTAAGGTACTAGGTGACTCTGTGGTGTATGGTACAGTGACTGGCTGGTGGCAGACAAATTGCTAATTTATAATCTCTTCTTGTTCCTCTTCCCACTAGAAAAGTAGTGCTGTATTTCCTGACATTTCCATAATATTTTTATATATACACATACACACACACACACACACACACGACTGTTTGTGGGACGCTGCTGTGCGCAATTGGCTACCGCATTTCACCCACCAAAATACATAAGTCAATTCACTTCATGATATATTCTGTGAAGTGCTTAGAGACATCTCAACGACGTGATAAGGCGCTGCATATTTTGTGGCTGCCAATTGTGCGCAGCGGTGTCCCGCAAACCGTCATGGATTGAGTGACCAAACGGTTACGATCACTANTTTTTTTTTGAAGGGATCGCTATCCTTGAAAAAGCCATCCTACCATCAACTAACAACTGGGTTCCTACTTACCGCTAGGTAAACAGGTCATGTTTGTGGAGTAAGCTAACTTGCCTAAGGTTTCGCCCTGCCTGGGAATTGAACCCAGGTCCTCTCGCTAGTGAGTGCTCTAACCACTAAGCTACAGGGCTCCCACGGATAATGTGCTTTAGATGTGTCATCACAAGTGAGGATGAGTGTTGTAAGGATGCGCCACACACGTGTCATAGCCCAGCGTAATGAATCAAAACTGACTCATTTGCTCCTGAAGAGCAAACGTTTCTGTTTGCCACTTGAAATTCCTTAAATGGTAAATTAGTCTTTCATAATTTCTATTGACTGAACAGTGATTCAACACACACTGATTGGGCTGTTCGTCACGGCTCTTGGTGAATTGTCTCTTAAAATGTACTGTGGAGGATTGTAACATCCTGTGTTTGTATCACTGTGGACGGCATATATTTGTTTAATTCCTCTTCAGGAAGTCAGTGGTAGGTCGATGTACTCTCACTTGCTACAAGAGACCCAACCAAAGCATCTCGGAGTACTCACATGAGCTGTCCCTCTGGAATCTTTAAGCATGAAAGTATCCGACGGGTCTTTTTCTGAGCTCCTTGTGAAGTCTGGAAAATAATTTCAGGGTAGTAGAGGCAAGAGTTCAACATATAATTCATATAGCGCCTTACACAATGGGAGGAAAACTCGGTATGATTGAACATAGGAACAGGAGGAGGCCGTTTGACCCCTTGAGCCTGTTTCCACCATTCAATAAGATCATGGCTCATCGGTACCTCAATTCCAGTTATCCGCCCTTGGCCCGTAACCCTCGACACCCTGACCCAACACATGTGCGTCCACCTTAATCTCGAAAATTAGTTATTTGCAAAAATGTGCCGAACAGGGGAATGGAGGCACAAGCTTCGTTTTTGCGTGGAATACGATCCAATGCCTTGATAGGACGGTTGTGTACTGGAGCGTTGAGGTTTGGGGGGGCACAATGGTACGTTTTTATCTCTGGATTTGCCTCGCGTACACAGTGTGCAGACGGCACATTACCAGTGCGTCAGCTGACTCCAAACTCTCTGGCACTTTCGCAGTACACAATGGTCACTGCACTGGGATTAGAGGCTTTGGTGGTCTGATTCTATGCTGTTCATTCACTTGTCTGGTAAACACCAAGTCCCACTGTTCGGGGTTCTGCAGTAAGGACACGGAAATCTGAGCAGCCGGCAAACTGCGGAGGATCCTTGAAGCGGGTGGTGCAGTGAGCTATTTATTGAGTGTCGTTTTCTTAACGGACTTTCTTAATCGCCTTCTGCTATATTGGATTGTTAGACACAGACTAACATCCAGAATTGGGCAACGAGCACAGTGGTGAAATGTGGAGTGTTGAAGCAAAATCAGTACCACAAACCCTCCATCTGTGTTTTTGTGGACAATAGTAGGATGCTGAATTAAAGCACAGGAAATCGACCAATTTGTAATGGTTGTATTACATCAGTACTTCGTGGAAACGTTGTATAATTTAACGTTGTCTCCTTTGTGCTTTGTTCGTGGAACAAACAAAATCCGGCTGTAGAAACTGGCTCCTTCATTTCATTGGCCAAGCCTTGGTGTCCCGGAGCGAGCCCTGGTCAATTACCGCTCGCGCTAATTGCTTTGAAAGAGAATCTGTGATGTTAGATAAAACACCTCAATTCTCCGAGGCCGATTACAATGCCTGTCCTGTATCTGGAAACGGAACCTGCCCCTCCCTCCTTCCGAGCAGACACAACACTCAACCTCACCATTCTACTCAACCGGAGGTAATCATTCCTGTGTTCTTTCTCAACTTGTTTTTCGGGTGACATCATCCACCTGGAGGGCGGTGCAGTAGGTAGGATGATTCACAGTTTCACTGGATTCCTCTGCTACCTCTTGTTTTTGAAGCCGGGGTAGTTTCAGTGGCATTGAGTCCTGGGAGCTGGTTTAAGACAGACCGCTGTTGATGTGGGAACTCAGGTTGAACAATGTACTTGAAAAATGCGACAACAGAGCAGGTTTGGCAAATTGAGTGTGAATTCAGGGCGTTCTAAGGTGTCTGATTGTTTAAACGTGAGTTTCGTTTAATGCGTTCTTATTACACTATTAGACTTGTTTTTGAACGTGATTTATTTCCTTCTATTAACATTCAGTTTTATATAGTGTGGCACTAGTTTCTGTTCGGGAGGGGGGGGAAAAAAGCTGTTTAAAGTCATTTTAATTTAATTTTGTAGTGCTGTGTAACTCTTGTTAGCTTTGAATGTAGCCCGTGCAAAACCTTAGCCGCCCAGGATAGCCGAACCTTTTGTTGAAGCTGCAGTTTTTAACTGCTGGCATTCCGCTTCTCCCACTGGTGTATTGGAGTAGTTTGTATCACAGCAATTAAATCTACCTTACCTGCTGACATGTTGACTTAATAATGTTCATGACTAATCCCTAGTGGGAGGAGCGGAAGCAGAGTCCTTTGTTTTAAAACAAAACCCTTATTTGTTTTTGTATCAAAGATCTGAATTGGCCAATATTCAGCACTTACATTTTGTCTCCAGATCTTCTCTGCCTCCCACTGAACCAAAGAAATAGCAACCAGATTTTTATCGTCCTAATGTACTTGTATTAAACATTGAAGCTCCCAGCAGCTTTTACTGCTGGGTGAGGGAGACACAGAGCTTCAGATATCGGCATTCCTAAGAGTATTTAAGACGATTTACTGGATCTGACTTTTTTTACTGTTAAGCTGCTTCTCAGGTAATTCAGTGAGTATTAAAGCCACAACAACAAATACTTTGTGTTGGATCAGAAAATTCCAGTGGATAAGTAACAATGCTCATATTTGCCCAACCTAAAGAAACATTATAGAAAGCTCTGCGAAAATTAGCCGCCTATAATTACATTGCTGTGCGCAAATGGCTGCCATATTTGCCCACAAAACACACAGTCGCTGCACACTAAATTATATCCTGTGAAGCGCTTTGGGACGTACTCCCGACATGAAAGGTGTTGTACCAAATGTAAGGATTATTATTATTATAAACTATACACTCCACAGTAACTCCTGCGGAGTGCTTTGAGATGCAGTATTTTAACTACGCGTTGAGGAGCTACATAAAATGCAAGTAATAATATTATAATTTTTTATTATTGCAACAAACTGCTAAACGTTTTGGTAAAGAGAGTTTGCTTAGTTTTGTTTGTTACAGTCGAACAATCCATCAACTTGTTGGGAGTGAGCATCCTCTGTTATCTTCTCTTATTCTCTTGTGGTATAAATTGAAACTCTTAAACTGGACAACTGAGCAGCCAGTATCCTTGCTAGTTTAGGTGTGTGTAAGACCATTACACGAGTTGTCTACATGTGGGGCTAAAACCTTCTTAAACTTGTCCTACTGCTGTGCTATGTAATGCTTGTCCAGTAGACCATCTGACGATTATTTCTCTTTCTCTTATAGATCGACCGCTTGGAAGGGAACAGCTTTACGCAGTCGAGTGCTGTCACCTGCAGTTCTGATGGCGGCATTAGTGTGGACGGGATCGATGGTACTCTAGACCCTCAGAGGACTAAAGCCGCTATCACTCACCTGCAGCAGAAGATCCTGAAGCTGACTGAGCAGATCAAGGTTGAGCAGACAGCCCGGGACGACAATGTGGCCGAATACCTCAAGCTAGCCAACAATGCGGACAAACAGCAGAGCGCCCGTATCAAGCAGGTCTTCGAGAAGAAGAACCAGAAGTCCGCCCAGACCATCCTACAGCTGCAGAGGAAACTTGAGCACTACCACAGGAAGCTGCGTGAGGTGGAACAGAATGGGATGCCCCGGCAGACTAAGGACGTCTTGCGGGACATGCAGCAGGGCCTGAAAGACGTGGGGGCTAAGGTGACAGGCTTCAGTGAGGGCGTGGTGGGCAGTGTCCGGGGAGGGCTGACCACCATCTCTCAGGCCACTCACTCAGCCGCCGGAGCCGTCGTCTCCAAGCCGCGGGAGATCGCCTCCCTGATCCGCAACAAATTCGGAAGTGCCGACAACATTTCTAGCCTGGATGATACGCAGGGGGACGACTCCATCAAGGCCCTAGGTCTCAGCGTTACCCTACAGTCCAGTCCCAAGTACGGCAGCGAGGAGGACTGCTCCAGCGCCACGTCGGGGTCTGTTGGTGCCAACAGCATGTCGGGGGCTCCCGGCGGCCCCCCTAGTTCCAGAACGAACACGCTGGACATGGGCAGCTCAGGGTTAGAAGCAATATTTCACGAGATTCACGACGTGAGAGAGACACAGGCCGGGCTGGAGGAATCCTTTGAGGGACTGAAATCTCATTATCAGCGGGATTACACGTTCATTGTGCAAACACTACAGGAAGAGCGATACAGGTACGGAGTTCACGGCGATATTTCAACTACTGCTTGCTGCTGAAATACTTCCTTCATAAAAAATTATAATAAAAATAATAAACTGGTCGCTTCAAAACACAGCTGTTTGTGGGACGCTGCTGTGCGCAATTGGCTGCCCCATTTCGCCCACAAAATATACAGTCGATTCATTTTACAGTGTATCCTGTGAAGCGCTTTGAGACATCTTGAAAATCTGATGAAGCGCTATATCAAATGCAAGGATTATTATTTTTATTCTCATATTTGTAGTCATCCGGATGTGGTTAATGATTGTTGCTATTTTCTTTGTTCCTATGTATTTCTAAGTAATTTTGCTAAATTTACTGTTGAGTTGCACCCAATTTCTTCACTGATTGTCACTCGAGATACTGCGGGAGTATGTGGAGGCTGTACAATTTCAAAGGACAGAACGTGTAGATGTAATCTAATTTGGTCAGCCGAATTTCTGACGAATGCAGAAACCCATCATTGTGGTTAAGAGTATCCAAACCAAACCGAGTTCAATACATCTGAAAAATTTAGGTTGTTCCGGGGGTAATAATCCCTTCAAACCATAAACAGTAATAATAATTTGGTCACTCAATCCACAACTGCTTGTGGGACACTGCTGTGCGCAATTGGCTGCCGCATTTCACCCACAAAATTCACAGTCACCCCACTTTACAGTATATTCTGTGAAACGCTTTGAGACTTCTCAACGACAAAGTTGATTGAGGGAGACACAGATTTAAGGTTGCAAAGGGCAATTTCAGGGCAGACACCAAGAAATATGTCTTTACCCAGAGAGGGTATCAGGAAGGGTGGTCGAGGCCAGGACACTAAACTCATTTAAAGAAAAAGTAGCTTGATAGGAAGGTAGTAAGATGGGCATTCTACGAGGGAGCGATCAGGTCAGCCAAAGGGCTTTTTCATCCAAATCCATTATGCAAACCTTTATTATGTTTTGTTCCCATTCACTTAATGTGCTTAACAGTGGTTGTTAGTGGCCTCATCAGAGAGTGGGAGGAGTTGCTGACGCTGCCTAATAAGCTGAGTTACTCACGAGTGATCTGATTCCAGCCCCGAAGCATCGTAGAATTATATAGCACAGAAAGGGTCCATTCGGCCCATCGTGTCTGTACCAGCTCTTCGAAAAGAGCTTTTCCAAATCATTCCCTCTACCCATAGCCCTGCAAACTTGTCCTCCCCAAATAATCATCTGGTTTAAGCCTTGTGTATTTTCTGATTAGCTGCTCCTTCCCTTTTGGTGGCTTGATTTTTAAAAAAATTTAGTCACTTCAATCCACGACTGTTTGTGAGCCACTGCTGTTCACAATTGGCTGCCGCATTTCACCCACAAAAATATACAGTGAATTCACTTCACAGTGTGTTCTGTGAAGCGCTTTGAGGCGTCTCAACAACGTGATGAGGCGCTGCATCAAATGCAAGGATTATTGTTATTAATAGAGCAATACCCTCAATAATCATTATTATTATTATAAAGAAAGCAACTACACAACTTTTTTTTCCCCCAATTGTGACATGGCACTTAAGTGAAGCAATAAAGTTCACATTCCAATAGCGTCGCCACATGAACTGGATCGAGGGTTTGGCAAACAGTAAATGTTTGCCCGGCATTTTCAAACAAAGACCTCTTTACAAAAGTTTGCTTGTTTCTGCTTATTTACAGTCAGCATCAGTTCAGAGTGTTACTTCTGCTCTGCACCGCAGGCTCTCCTCTTATCTTACTTCCTCCCCTCCGCCCCTTCAACTCCTGCCTAAAGACCTTCCTTTTTGATCGTGTTTCCGGTCACCTCCCCTCATCCCTTTCCCCCTGCCTCGACGTCAAACTCCGCCACGATCCAGCTACCCCGCGTGAAGGGCGCGGTGTGAATGCGAGTTGTGGCTGTACTTACCCCACTCCCTTTTGTGGCTCACTTTTTATTCTCTCTCTCACTTCTTCTTTTCCCCTGCCCCCCACCGACACACACACACTCTCTCTCATCCCCTAAATATCTTGGTTGAGTACTGAAACCCAGTTGCAGGCTTGGATTCCAGTGCTGCACGATTGGTAGAGTTATGATGGCAACACTACCTCACTGACTGACTGGCCTCATGCTCTCTCTCTCTCTCTCTCTCTCTCTGCAGTTGAGTTTCCACGACCGTACATGTTACTGGAAATGGCACAACATATCTCCTTTTTTTTTTTCCATCCTGAGTGGATCGTGCCAATTTAGTTTCCGTTTAAAAAAATTCCCGTTACATTCATTGCTTCTAATTAATAGGTGCGAGCGGCTGGAAGAGCAACTGAACGACTTGACGGAACTTCATCAAAACGAGATCCTCAATCTGAAGCAGGAGCTCGCGAGTATGGAGGAGAAAATGGCCTACCAGTCGTATGAGCGAGCGAGAGACATTCAGGTCAGTACACAGTCACGGGCTGGGTTAACCGTTAGATAGCTACTACATAACTAGTTCGCCAATTACTGTGCTCTATTGACCTTCGGTCCCAAATCTACACAAGCAACCCTTTTCTCGTGTGGACTTGGACCGGCGTTCCAGGACGCTACCCCACATGAGGAGCACAATCTAAATGCAAGGTTTGGCTGAAACCAGCATGCAGAGGTCTGAACTCTTGACACATTTAACTCGACGTTTATGCTCTACAGTACCTCTCAACAATGTGTTAATTAGTTCCAGAAATAAGAATTCATTAACCAATGACTCGTTGGATGAATTTCCTTTGCTTCGTGTGCCCTGTTCTTATGTTTTGATCAGTCCGAAAGCAAAATTTAGGAAATATAGTTACATCTCTACGTCACAATGCCATTTTTTTTATCATAATACTTATCTCCTGAGGGAGAGTGCTACCAGCTGAGCCGACGCACAAGTTGGGAGCTATCCCATTGCTGAGTCGCTGACAAGCCATGGAAAGTGGGTCTCTCTCGGTGTAGCTGAATTTCGCACTAGATGAGAGCTTTAGCAACGGAGCAATAAGTGGAGCAAGTAACTCATTGATATTTCCTCCACTGTTGAAAAAGCTTTCAGTGTAGAGTGTATGCTTGGCACTAACCTGATCCCCACCAGTAACTGCTTCAGGGAGATTGCAGTGTTGTCAGAAGACTTATGTAATGACAGTGATACACTAGAGGGGGTGGGGGGGGGCATAAAACTGAACCTAATGCAGGGCTGAATTAATATAAATATGCGTTGCATTTGATGTAGCACCTTCCACCCTTCACTTCGTCTCAAAGCGACTCACAGCATTTTCTGCAAATCACGGAGAGAATCTCCTCTTATTGAATAGCGTCATAGGACACTTTAATGACTATCTGATCGGATTGGGTACACCATGTGTTTTTGTCTCTCAAAATATACAGCTAATCCATTTCACTGTGTAGTCTGTGAAGCGGTTTGAGACGTCTCAAAGACGTGATGAGACGCTATATCAAATGCGAGGTTTATTATTATTATTATTTCGTAGCCTAACCCAGAAGCTTTGCAGTTTTGTATACAGCGGTGTCCCTCGGGAAACAGACATGAAGTGAATGACCTAATTTTATCGGGATGGGGTGGGGGGGAAGGATTGTTGGCCATTGAAGTATCACCTTAGACTATAGGTTAAAAGTGATGTATTTCACACCGGACAAGATCTTTTATCAATGCCGCAATTGGTGGAGTTTGAACCCGCATCCTATTGAAACAGAAATGAGAGTGCTACCAACTGAACCAGGTTGATACCAATTAATATTCTTAATTTTTCACCTCAATGTTGTTGTTAACAATACTTCACAGCCACAGTAATACAACTTGAATTTAGGAGTGAATTCCAAGAGACAGTTTTTCAACCCGAAGAGTAGTGGAAATCTAGAACTCGCTGCCTCCCCCAAAAGGCTGGATTCATTCACATTTTCAAGACTGAGGTGGATAGATGTTTGTTATATCAGGACATCAAGGGATATGGGGCAAGGCTGAGTAATTGGAGTTGAGGTACAGATCAGCCATGGTCTTATAGAATGACAGAACAGGCTTGAGGGGCTGAATGGCCTCCTCCTGTTTCTTTGTTTCTCTGAATTGCTCTTTCCAGGTGGACGTTTTTCAAGAAAATAATCTCTATGGATGTGTTTGACTGTTCTTTTGAATATAATCTATTTCACCTATCATATGCTACTGAACTCTTGATGACAACAATAGACTATCAATCCCTTGAAGATGGCATGCTGCCACTTGTGAGATTATTGTAAGTGTAGGATTCCGTGCTGTTGAATGTTTGTTTTCCTCCCACCACAGCAAAATGTATTTAATGCAGAAAAGGTAATCCCCAGCAAACAGAGATTCTCCAATGTGCAGTGAAGAGCTGAGACATAGGCAGGAAAGGTCCGAGATTCAATTCCCCATCTTTGCTTCGTTAGCTGATCTCCTCTTGCTAGGATTGGATTTCGGGGGTTACAGTTGATCTCTGCAGAATATACAGTCAATTCACTTTACAGCGTATCCTGTGAAGCGCTTTGAGACGTCTCGAAGACGTGATGAGATGCTGTATCGAATGCAAGGATTATTATTATCATCTCAGCCAGCCAGTCAAATAGCCTGCCAACAGTCACCATCAGGGCTTAGCTACCACTAATATCAGGGTGTTGGAGGGAATATTACCACACCGTTAATAGCAAAGGGGAATAAAGTACATTTCTTTTCAGAGGAGACAATTTGCTGGAGATAGGTTTTTTTGCAAAATTTGCTTTTTTAAAAAAAAAATCCCTTTCTTTTGACCTTTGTTTTTACCTGATAGCACAAAGCCTGCTTTTCTGAAATGTCCTAAGTTTTTATTATTTTTTTTAAAAAAAACAGTCAGTCCCACGTGTGTTAACCTGTTTAGTGTCCCTGTATTTCAGCCAGCAATAGGAGGCAGTGTGGCAGGATCTGCTGATTTAAAAGCCGCTGCTGGTTCTTCCCAAGCAGTTATTGGTGGCTATGGCTAGGTAAGTTTAGAGTGAACCCCAGGCCCACGATAACTGCAGTGGTGACAGTGAGAGGCAAGAGTCTTACTCAGCGTGTGCGTTGCTGTGTTTTGTGCAGGAAGCCCTGGAGGCCTGTCAGACGCGCATCTCCAAGATGGAGCTACAGCAGCAGCAGCAACAGGCCGTGCAGCTGGAGGGGCTGGAGAACGCCACAGCCCGGACGCTGCTGGGCAAACTGATCAACGTGCTGCTGGCCGTCATGGCCGTGGTCCTGGTGTTCGTGTCCACCGTGGCCAACTGCGTGGTGCCGCTGATGAAGACCCGCAGCCGGACGTTCAGCACTTTGTTCCTGGTCGTGCTCGCGGCCTTCGCCTGGAAGAACTGGGAAACCATCGCCGGCTACATGGATCGTGTCCTACCTCCGCCCGGGTGACGGGACGGTGACTTGTCGGGCGGGCAGACAGGCAGGTGGTGAACCTCGGGACTTTATTAACGTGTGGATGCCGAACCGGAGTGGATTTGTTTACAGACCTACGTGGAAAAAAGACACTTTTTTGGGGGGTGGGGTGGGGGGGGGGGGTTCCGATTCGCCGAATGACACTTTGCAGAAGTATTTCGAGATTTAAATCGATCGTGTTTTCTGGGCAACTTTGTGTAGGCGGGAATCCTTCTCGGGGGTGGGTGGGGCGGGGGGTGGGGGGGTTTAACCAGCGAGAAGAAAGCAGCCGAGAGCACGGAGCCCTTGCTGTGCAGGTACTAGTGATAATAACTAATCCTGCTTTTCTACACTCTCTCTTTCTCTCTCTCTCTCCAAAATCTCCCGAGGAAGGAAAAAAAAATCGCCTAAAATTTAGTGCACAGCCTATTGTGTGTGTTTTTTTTTTTAAAAAATGAAAAAAGTGTTTTTATATTTTATTTGACTCCGCGCGAACCCGCGGTACTTAATAATAAATAAAAGAAAGAAAGAAAGAAAAAAAAAAAGAATTTACTGTGAAACAAAGCACATTCCAAGCTCCAGGAAATGGATTCAGGGTTATTTTCATACCGATCAGTACGCCTCTCGCCGTGGTTTTAAATCCTCCGCGCTTTGGAACTAACTTGAAGGAATGCTGCAGGTTTCATGGTTCTCACCAGATCGCCTGCTGAACACGAGAAGCACTGTGCTGTGTCGATTCCCTCAAGGCGCTGTATTCTCCTCTGTTAGCGATAGCACTGTGCCATGTACTGCAGATTCCTAGCACCAGTATTGCTGAAGAAACCAACAGTTTGTTTTCTCTCTCCCTCTCGCTCTCTCTCTCCTTCTCCCCTTGCCTCTGACAAACCCACAGTCAGTCCACCGTACCTCCATCCCCTCCCCACCTTGCTCCCCTTTCTCCACACACCCCCACCCCCCGCCGCCCGCCTTTCCTCGTCCTCATCAACTAACATACTTGAAGAGCGTAAATGCTCAAAGTCTTCTCAGTGCTTCCTTAACTGTTTCTACGATAGATATAATTTTTAGCAGCGGGGATTGTTTTTATTTAATTATTAAAAATAAAGATGTTTTAAAAGAGTATTTTAAATGAAGTAATAATGTGCGGTGAGGCAGAGTACAACCCATCTCGTCACGAAACAAGGTGTATATTATTCAGTTTGATGAACGCTGATCTCACGAGAGTGCCATTGTCTTCTTTTTCCAACTTCCTGACAAGTGTACTGAAGGCCTTTAGCGCACTCCACTGATTGTCCCATGAATGATAAAAGAGTAGAGTTTGTACACTTACTGCGATATCTTTTACTCTGGTCAGTGTTTTATGCTTTTAACTGCGAAGTCCTCTAATGTAGTGGTTAGAGCACTCGCCTCGCAAGCGAAAGGACCTGGGTTCAATTCCCGGGCAGGGCAAAACATTAGGCACGCCTCTGTTTACCTAGAAGTAAGTAGGAACCGGTTGTTAGTCAATTGGCGGATCATTTTTCCAAGGGTAATAATCCCTTCAAAAAACATAATAATAATTTGCTGTGCGCAATTGGCTGCCGCGTTTCGCCCACAAAATATACAGTAGATTCACTTTACAGTATATTCTTGAAGCGCTTTGAAACGTCTTGAAGACGTGATAAGGTGCTATATCAATTGTAAGGATTATTAATATTATCATTAAAAGTGTGGCTGGGAATGCCCATTTGAATAGAGCTGGTACCTGGTGTAGGAGCAGGACTTAGGAGGATGGACAAAGCTACAGGCAAAGTATCTGCTCCCAGGCTGACTTCCTGCAGCAGTTTCAAGTCATAAAACAGTCAGGAGCCAATGGGTAAAATACCAGTAAGTACATAAATCTCTTTTTTTTTGTACATCTGTGAATCACGGGGACATTTGATGGAGTACACCTTCTTAAGAAGTTTTTTTTTTGGCTCTGCTTTATAAACGAAGAAATAAAAGCATTGCATCACACACGGCCAACGATATTTTTATTATTTAATTCTCTCTGTGCCTCTTTCTCCTCTCTCACACACATGCGCATGCACGCACAGACACACATGTACACACACGCGCGCGCGCACACAAAACACAAGACACCTTTTGTGGCGAGATGGTTTCCTGGTTTCACATTCTGAGTATTTATAAAGGCGGTCGGTCAGTGAGTTGGCGTGACGTGTAGGTCCTGGATGTCGTGAGTTTTATGACGTACGTGCGTGTGTGTGTGTGTGTGTGTGTGTGTGGTCGGTCTATCGTGGTAGGCAGTGAATTAGCCGCGAGAGCGTAATCCACACGCTCGATCGGGGCTGGGAGAGCTGGTAACGACACTCGGGAAAGTAACACTGTAGTTGAATAGGTTTGTAACTGCTGATCTGATGAAATTGAATTCATGTCTCGTTGATTTGTCCCAGACCTTGACTGCAGTTACTGTACTGTACATGAAATAAAGACCTCAGCTATTAATCGATCACTCTGTTGTCTTATTGGTGCCTGTGGATCCCCTGAAGCCAGAGGTGACTGCTCTCCCTGAGGTGAACCTGTTTATTTTCACCTTCTAGTTGTTCCCGGCTTAGTAAGAGTTCGAGCGAGCGCCTTTAATTACTGCTTTTTACTGAACAGCGGCGTTGTTGGGAAGGGAAGATCATATTTACCGTATAACATTGTATACCACAGACTGCCCATAAAATCACCTGTATGTTTTGAGCAACAGATTTCCAATCACTGCAGACATCGCCCGTGAGGCTGGAGCAAATCTCACAACAAGCGAGGTTTCCTTTAGCAATCGCATCGGCACAAGGCAACAGGATATGGAAACAACTTGATGGAAAGGCCTTTGGGTCATTTCGAAAGGGCCAAGTGACAGAGCCATTTCTTTTTTTGTTGCTGCTGTTGAAAAGACTTTACAACCCCCTACGCCACTTCCATTCGCTGTGCAGTCAGCGTCTGCTTCGCTCGTATTGACTCCGTTCTGACCTTTTGTATCCGAAAGGAAAACCGCTCAGTACTTAGGTCTGTTGTTGACAATTAGCCCCGGGCTCCTGTTGTGCAGTTTGAAAGGCAACTGTTCGGAGATGCAGAAGAGTATCCTGGCTTGGGATCACTCTCCCCCTGAGTGATCCCCTCTCCTTCCTCTCCATCTCTCTCCCTCTCTCTCTCTCTCTTCCGATTGACTCCTCTCTATATACAACAAGGGGGGCAAAGATACATTGCGGGAGGAAGTCCAAAGCAGCCTTCGGCAGGGGAGCAACACACTGTAAATCAGTGAGCTTGCCAAAGGCTGCCATAATCTCTAAGCTCCAAACTCTGTGCTGTTGGCACCGGAGCAATCCTGGTCCTGGTAAGCGAAAAGGCTGGGAGTGGAAGATTATGGTGTGTAACAGTTTAATATTTGATCTCCGTGCACCTCTTTGTAATGTTTACCATCTCACAAGGCAAGACATTATTTATGGCTCCGGTGTGTAAACACCCCCTCACGATAAAGGGATCTGGGTAAGGTTTCCATGTCCGTTGTCGGAATCTGCTTTTAAGGCTGCGGCGTGCGATTCAATTCAGAGCAAAGCAAAGATTGGTGACTGGATTTGGAACTGGTCCTGTTGATTGAGCGTACACGGATAAATGTGTGAGCTCCATCTACAGGCAGCAAACTGGGTGATGATGTCTTAGAGATGGGAACATTTTGCTGCTGAAAGTTCTCCGGGACGCTATATAAATGCGTAACGTTATTGTTGGTTCGGGCTGTGGGGTGGGGTGGGTGGTGGGGAGGGCTGAGGGACAGTATTATCATAAACAGTTCACACTAACTGAAGTGTACAGGAATTAAAGGACTATATTTTAAGTGTTTTAACCTAAGTTTAAAACCATCGGATTTCTCTCTCGAACACACGACGCGCGCACACGGACTCAGCAAACAGAAGGCAAAACACTGCAGCTGCTGGAAATCTGGAAGTGAAAACAGAAGTGGCTGTGAACACTCAGGTCAGGCAGCATCTATGGAGAGAGGAAAATGAGTTAAGGTTTCGGGTTGATGACCTTTCGTCAGATAGATGCTAAAAGTCTGTTTGAGAGCCTCCCCTTATTGTATGGTGTGTGTAAGTGTGTGTATGTATACATATATATATATAATACTTCACAGAATATACCGTAAGGTGAATCGACTGTGTATTTAGACTGATGACGCTAGAAGGTATATTTTTGCGAGAAAATAATATCGGTAAAGAAGATACAGCGTATGGTTTGGGGACACGACGTGTCAAGCGACTGCCAGGATGGTGGAAGGCGAACTGGGTGGACCTTGGTCTTCTCTCGCCAGGAAATTCTTATGTCCTTAATGCTCTAGAATCTAAGTGTCACCTATGAAGCTGTTCCTGTTTATCTCTGTGATCTTCTTTACCCCTCTGCTTGGCCCCTTCGTTCGTCTGACCTGGGATTACTGTGCGTCCCTCGCCCGCACCCCCCCCCACCCCACCAACCCCCAAACTCTCTCCGTGCCAAGCTTTCTGATTCTACGCCCCTAACAACAACAATAATAATAAATCGGTCACTTCAACCCACGGCTCTTTGTGGAGACGCTGCCGCGCGCAATTGGCTGCCGCGTTTCACCCCCAAAAATATACAGTCAATTCGCTCTACAGTACACGGTGTGAAGCGCTTTGAGAGATCTCAAAGACGGGATGAGGCGCCGTATCAAATGCGAGGAGTGTTGTTAGTATTGTTGTCGTCTTCCTTCACGTCCCTATCCATTGTGCGACAGACGGACAGATCCACCAGATGGAGATGTGGAGCCTGAGAAGCAGCCGGTTACCGCTTAATTCTCTCGGCTGTTCATTATTGTGCTAATGCTGGATAGACTTTAAAAAGGCGGTGTCGTTATCAGTCGATGGTAAGATCTTCTGGGGGGATGGCCTGGCCTCATTTGTCAGGTGGTATCTTGAGGCTCAGTGTGCACTTTGGATGCAGTCAGTTCCGTTGCGTTCGTGTTTCGTGAGCGAAGATTTTTTTTTTGAGATGGGGGGTGGGATAAACTTTGTAGTAATGACTATTGCCATTTAAAACAGCGGGTGCTTAAGGTCTAATGTGGTTACCAAATCTAACAGCGCAGGGGAATCCTAATAA